GATTCGAATTCCGCGCTGCTCCCGCCGCTAGTACGCTGCGCGGCCGGAGAGGGCAGTGCGGACCAGGTGCAAGCCATCGATGGAGTCCAGTGTACTTCACTTTCAGACAAAAACGTGAAATATCTGCTCGCTCACTTCGTACAAAGATTAATTTTTGGGCGAAGATAATTTGAATAACAATTAAAGACATTTTCGAAAATGGTGAGATATTCAGAGGAAAATGAAAGATTAGCGGATAAATCAAGATGTGCTGGTGTTAGAGCCGACTTAAAACTATGTTTATTAGAAAGTGATTGCTGTAAAATAGTAAGCAGTTATCGATAACCTTATAGCTTGTATTAAATTCAGAAACAGTTTTAATTTTCCTCAAATATAATGACATTCAATTAGAAGAAATGCATACCATCGATGTGATTTTCAATATATCACAATGCTTTGATCGTTGTAAATGGTAATTATAAATGACTTATTTGGTTATTATATATTTTAGCATAAGCGCACACCGAGAGAGTGCCTTCTTACTGGTGATGAAACTGTTCCATATGAATGTCACATTCTGCGAAATACATTTTTTGAGTGTAAACGTTCAATAGTAAGTACATAATACATCTCGTAGTGCAAAAGGTTATTTTTATTATATCCCTTGCATGATCTCAATTTTAATATATTTATAGGTGGATGGTAGAAGAAGATTTCGTGGGCCTAGGGGTTATTGATACCTAAGAAGGTAACGGTTGTTCAATAGTTTTAAAAATTAATTATAATTCAGTAAGATCGTTTATATCAGTGGTTGGAAGAAAATTTAAATTACATTTATATTTCCACTTTGGTACTGTTATTGATTAATCTTATGCAGAAGTACCATTTAAGGGTTTTGTTTCATTCCATTATATTACAAGGGCAATGATGTTTTCGCTTAAAACTACTTAAGATTCAATCATTTCAGGAGTAATGTGAATATTGAAGATAATGTATTGGATTACTGATTTATTATCATTTCATTCATTGTACACGAATCAATAAATTAGAAGTATATTTCATTGAAGAGTCGCAAAATTGCTGTTTGAAAAAATCTCAGTGTGCTGCAAAAGCTGTATAAGTGGTTATGTAAATTAATAACTAGGAGATTTCAAAGAGAATTGAAGGTTATCTTTATAATTATTCAGAAGAAACCTTGTCACAAATTCATTTGTGATAATTACTGTCACAATGGACACAAACCGATTTTTTGCAAAATGTATCCTTTTAACATTTCAATCATGTAATCACAGTATTTTTTTAATCATATTAAATTTGCGCGAGTGCATCAGTTAAAATGCACACGAATCACAGTATAATGGCAAGGCTTGTATTAGTTCTATCGTTTCATGGTCGATGTGTACATCTGTGTTGCAAAAAGGATAGATTTCAATAAAAACCTATGATATTAGTAACAAATTGCGCCTGCGCAATTATGTACAACTATTGTCTTCGTGCAACAAGCTTATCGCCTATTCATTTTGTACTACGATGTAGATCCGCAGCCAGCTATGTCTCTCCCTCTATTATGCATAGATCTCCTAAAAGTAGTCTCGGGTCTTCTAATGAACAAGTCAAATATACATTTTTTTTAGAAAGACTGAATGACTATTTTTAACTTTTAATATTTCCCAGGACTTGTTTCTAAGGGGGAATGGTACATTATTTTATCTGTGTGTGTTTTCACATTTATGCGACCTGGAAGTGGGGAAACTTTGCCCTCAAAAATATTTGCACTGGATGTATTAGGTTTAGGAACAAGTTCCCGCCGTTTTTAACGTAAGATAATGTAATTAAAACGGCGCAAACTTATTCCTCAACCTAGTACTTTGAATAATTTGAATGGATGAAATCACAGCTTCGCGAGCATATAACTTTCCCTGTGGAGTCAGATTTTTCAATTACGTGTCAGAGAAAATATAAACACTGAGTAAAAATCCGGACTGGCAGTCCACGAATTTGTCATGGTGATCCCACATGGCTTTTTTCGTTACTCGCTCAACGCTTAGAACTGTAACAACGAAGTAGTATAAGGAGATACAACACCACGTATTGAAATCGTTCCCACTTTAGGGGTCCAAGATCTTCAAATTTGTTTCTGATTTAGTGCCGAGAGCGCCTCTTCGATGAAATTTTTCAATTCAAGATTATCGTCTGCTAACGTGCCCGCTAATCTTTATCGCGTTAAAAACATCAGATTCTGTATATCATATGAGGATTATCGTCTCATTTGACGTACCTTAAATGCAAAATTAAAAGCAATTTAGGTCATTTATATCGGTAGGAAATGTTTTAGTCACATAGGATTAGAGTTTCCTCATTTTCCGCAAGTAGCGCTCGCATCGTTAGATCAGCGAAAATCTGAGATCTTGGGTTCCGCTTCTGGAGTCTCTTTCTGTGGAACCAACCATAGGCATCAAGTCTCATTATACTACTCCAGGACTGTAACATAGTTCCCATAACGTGACGTTACTGGGATTCCGCTCAAAAATGTATTTGGCTCGAAACTCTACCTAGTTTCTTGATAAGGCTACTTGACATCGAAATCGCGGTACCGTGACTTCCACTGGACGGCACAGCAACGACGCTTGTTACGTCACAAGTGTTGCCTCTGCTTGCTGTTACGTGGCAGCACGGTCAACTCGGGCTTTTTTAATCATACCATTCCCTCTTAAGCCACATAGAAAATTGACTCTAATTACATTTGAAACCATCGCGAATCAACGGTGAAATAACTTTAACGAGTACTAGCAAAATGTAATATCATTACCTTCCCTATTAATTTTCGGCCTTATAAAAAAGAAGGGAATAATGCCATTTTTGATTCTGCCTAATATTGTCTAGAATTACAATAATTAATTATATGCTTCTCAACAAGAGGAAATGTTTTTCTTCGTCAATGAAGTTATTGTTTCGGACGTGCTTCGCTTTCCGCTTCAAATAGATCTATGGAGCTGAAGATTAACGCATCCTTTGAATTAGGATTAAAAATCCTTCCTAAGATGAAAACCATTTTTTACGTACCCTGGATCCTACATCTTAATCTACCGAACCGTATCGTACCTAATAAAGAAAAACTCTCTACAAGGTTTCGTATTCACATGCGTGTGATATATGTTTTTCAGTATCACAGTTTTTCATGTATGATATGTCGCCAATTATGGTACCGGTAAAAATCGTTGTATGGAAAAAAAGAATCATTTGGCTTGTTAACAATACCTTCGGCTAGTTGTTATTTTTCGTTACGAAAAGAAACGTAGCCGTTGTAACGCTAGCATTATTATAACGGCTACGTATTTTCAAACCGATTTTACCGTTCTACGTTCCTTCTCGCAAAACGATAGTGTCAAGTATTCCCAGCTGATTTTGAAAGTCCTTTTCCTGTATTAATAATGGCACCATTAATCGTTTGCTGATTACCGATTCGACTTTCGGTAGCTGATCTTTCGGGAGATCTGATTCAAGTCAAAAGTACTCCTCGAATTAGAGTCTCTCCTTGGAAAATGGTTTCTTCATTATATAATCATGGTTTTCTGAAGAATCAGAAACACACCGATGGCCTGTACAATCCAGTATAGCCACAGAGACGTGCTCGAAGAGCCGGCAGTAATATTGCGGCTGCTGATAAATTATCCTGAAGCTGTGAACACTCGCAGATCAGTAAATACATCTTGTCGCCTTGAGACATCGACTTGTGCAGTGTTATTCTTCTGAGGCCCACGGACTTTGGCAGATACCGATACATCATTCTTGCACCTGTTAACAAATATCATTCATATCAGCGCGTCTTGCCTGAAGAAGCCAGATTTCCTATTGTCTCATCCGCAAAACATAACCGGCCGTGAACATCACGTTTTTGGATCCGGCACACAGTGGGGCCAGAGAGGGTCAAAATTGGCATTAAATCGAACCATCATGGAGTGATTTTGTAAGTTGCATATTTCTTTCCGGTTCCCTTAGTGGTGTTAAAGAAAACAGTTACTGGAAAACCTGATGCTTATGATCGGCCTTGTTGGGTAGAATACGTGTCTTCTCGATAATAAGAAGCATTTCCTTGTTTCAGATGTATTGTTTCCCAATTTATTGCGTAACATACTTGGAATCAATGCCCTCAATCATTCTAATCAATCTCACTCGATTTCATAAAGCTCTATGTACTACCAAACAATTATATAGTTTCTTCCCATTCATAATCAATTGTCTTTGTTAAGTGAACTGGTTTGAAATCAAATGATCTATTTTTAAGAAGCTAATACGGTGTTTTCTATCTTAATGATTTGTTGAGTCTTGTCCTTTATTGGGAACTAAGAACTCTCGTATAATAATCCCACCAAACACGGTTACGTAACAATAATATAACCATTACATGACGTTTGTCACATGTAATGTAAGATACATATAACATATAAGTAAGTTTTGTATTACTACTTCCTCCGCAGGTATACAACACTGTTATAAAATTAATAATGCAACATTTACATAACATATTGGTAACATGTTACGTTAATATTATATAACTACAAGATTACCAAGTTTGTAACGATGTTACCGAACGGTAATAATTCAACGTTATATGATATTAATGTATCTTTTGAATAAAATTTGTTATATGTCATGTTAGTGACAGTGTCATGTAACTGTAACAGGGTGTTTGGTGGGATTGTTGGGCTTTAAGGGGAGATGTTATCGTTTACCGGTCCAATAAAGCCAGTTCTGCTCAAATTTGAGTCCATCGTCTCCTTCGAACACCTTGAATATAGAAACGATGTAACCAGTGGACGGAATGGGCGGTCTTCCTCCGGGCGGCTCCAGAGGAGGCCTGGCGATGGTCGCAACTTCGTTGAACAGATCCAAAGTGTGGTTGGCCGCATACCGCAAATCGCGAGGATCGAACTTTTTCAGGGTCGCACATTGAACTTCCTGATAAAAGTCGACTGGGTCGGTGTTCTGCTTGTTTATTAGATAATAAGAAATAAACGGAAAATCGGCTGCAAACAAAAAATCGTTATACGTCAATAACATCGGATATTTGGTCATTAAGGTGATATGAAAGAGTCAGCCTATATATTGGGTTGTTCGGAAAGTAATTTCGTTTTTTGTTGTTTTNAACGGATAATAATTCCGCAACATATATGATCAGTTTGAGACAATAATCGAGGGGCTATTCACTTAGAAATCGAGAATATTGGGTTGTTCGGAAAGTAATTTAGTTTTTTTTTATGAAAATGAAAGATGATTTTTTTATAGCGAATAAATATTTTATTGAATTATATATTGTCCATTTTGGTACAGATGAATTTTAATTCATCGATCTTGATGAAATTTCTCGACGCCTTTCATACCATCTTAATGCTTTGTGTTTCTGCGTCGATCGAGACTACAAGGTTACAATTTGTGCGATTATAGAAATCTGATTACGGGACGTTAATGTTTATTTTTACAAAATTCTAAGGTTTGGCTATATCCACTGGCTATTTCTTTTTTATGGCATCGTCTCAGGTGTAGTAGGTGTAAGACAAAACGAGCATTCAATTTCCAGATTCATGATAGATATATAACTTCTATGGGTCATGAAACGTTAACGGAACGGACTATCTCCGATAGATGTGCAAGTACTGATGGCTCCATAATATTAGTGATTTATATGGGTACTAAGTTTACCATTCCGTTCCATGTTGGTTAATAGGATACTTTGCGAAGCGGATGATGCAATTTCTGCGAGCAATTCCGCCGCTGTATCTCGTTGCAGAACCAATGGTCGGGAAATTGGCGATTCCACCAAAGGATCCAGGGGTTCCAGAGGGGTCATGAAATGTGCCAGAACACATTGTTTCGGGTCCTCCACCTCGAGGACGGAAAGAGGGCTGCCCGACCTCTTCTTATCGGCAATTGGGGCATGCTTAAAAGAGATCAGTTAAATGGATATATTCATATTCTGCGAATATTTGCAACACTTATGGGGACTCATATTGATAGGGTGAAAATACCTTATTATGTGACTGGTATAGGAAAAAAACGAAACACACACTGAAAGAAAATAAATTGATTGACAAATATATATTGTTGCCTGAATCACATATAATCGCAAGAAACAATTATTTTGTTGAGATGAAAAATTCATGTACTTTTTTGAAAAATGGGTAGATTTAACATCGTCAATGGGTATGAATCTCCTTAAAGAAAAAGCCCTGAATTGGACAAAAAATATATTATCAATGTTAGCAATGATTCAGTTTTGCCGCATTCACGATGCACATAGTTTTACAGTAGCTACAGTTTCGGAATTATAAGGTTAAAGAGAAGACCTCGGAGGTGATAAAACGTATCAACTATAAATATTTCATGCTATAAGTTTACAGCGACTTTTATGAAGTTTGTGTTGCTGTTGAGTGCCGCGAGTGGATACCTATATTACATGGATATTTGGTAAATGGATGATTGGATACGTATGTACTGCTTTTGCTCGCGTGCAATACTTCATTGCCTTACATTCATATTATACTACTTGTCTTTCATGAGAAACGGTAATAATGTTTCAAGGCCTAGGAATTTGCTTTACGTATTCTTATAAGGGCCGGCAAACTCGTGTACATGAGAGTAATTTTACTTACTATTGTTGAAATATTTTATACGTCAGTAATAACGTTGAATAAGAATAAGAATTATATGAAATATTTGTATTATATCAGTTCGTATAATTATTAACGTGGACTGTAAAAGAGTTCAAGATAAACATAAATGTCGGTAACGTGACGCTCCAGCTTATGTTACCATTTGAGTATTCAAAATGACACCACCAAAAAGTGTACAGATGAATTTTCATTTATCGACCTCGATTTAATTTCTCAGCGCCTTTCATATCTTCTTAAGGTGAAGTGAACTCCCTTCAAATCAGTTCATACAACACTTTTTTTTTCAAGGGCATTGAATCAAACTGTCCGAAATTTTGAAACATGACGCGTGATCATCTAAAAATTGTTCTGACAGATTCAAAATTTGGATTTTCGGAAAAAAAACTCTTAACTTAGCCCAGACCAGAACCAAAATGGCATCGAGCTCTCATATTTCGATCAATATACAATTATCGAAGGTTCTCGTATGAGAAACGAAAGGAGCAGGACAATTTTACGACAATTTAGAACACTTTGATAATTGAGAAACTCGCATTTGAATGGGATAAGGGCAGAAAAAGTGTTTTATGCGCTTCTATGCCAAAACGATGGGAATACGAGGTCTCGGAGTGAAAATTTAATTGACCTGAAAATCGCAGATGGCGCAGGGGGTCCCTCTGCAGTCAATTAGGGCCCCAGAAAGCATGAATTCAGAGGATTTCTGGAGTTTTACTTCGATTTCTTTATAATTATTGTACGAAAACGACAGGTGGAGTATCCCATTTGGTACAATGCCCAATATAATTCGACACAGCTGTGCATATAAAAACGAACGTCGGCAGCGTAGGTATTTAAAAAAATCTTCTTTATCGACGTCGATCAAGTTCCTCGACGTGTTTCACTTCACCTTAAGGAGATGTGAAAGTGGCATCGGTGGGGTCAATAGTTCATCCAACTTTCCTCCGAACTGAGTATACCGAATTGTTTGAAACTTCGTAACGTGAATATAGAGGCTATAAGGAAGGTCCTGACACTCGTGAAATTGAATTTCTTTTTATAAAAAGTTTAAAAATATCTATGAACGAATTTCAAAAATGTTGAAATCTCATGAGTTTTAGGATCTTTCTTATACCCTCCATATTTATATTGTAAAGTTTGAGTCGATTCGTTACACCCACTTCGGAGAAAAGTTTCATAAACGAGACTTCTTTGACGCCACTTTCACGTCACCTCACGTCACGTCACGTCACGTGGTATATAGAGTGAATAACGTATTATTTACCGGTACTCCTGCTGGAAGAAATCGTTCCAAAGAGGCCAATGGAATTATGAAGCAGTCTCGATCTAAAGTTGCCAACGAAATTGGTTCACTTCGAGGTGGACTGCTTCCGGAAGTGACGAGTGGCGTGTAAGTTCCAGACGATCGGTTGGCGCTGAATGACACCTGTAAAAGTAGAAACATTTGTCACTGATTCGACGTGCCCATTACACGTACGTTTGATAAGATCGAGACTGCCGAGTGTAAAAGCCGATACCGACGTCACGCGATAAATATTAAATAATGTCAAGGACTTTGTAGCGACCATGTACGCGTACGCGAGACATGATGCATATACATGATGTTCCAATGGTGGTTAATAAATTTCTAAACTGTCACAGGCTTCGTTGATAATAGTCACGAGTTAGCGAGGCCTCTTCTGGGATCCAAAACGCAGAAAGCCGAGGGAATTTTGCGAATATTGACGACGCACAACATCGCATAATTCATCGAAGCGATCAAGCACACAAAATGAACAGCCGATTTAGCGAAAGAATAATCCTCTGTATTATCAACATTTTGGTGCAAACATCATAAATAAATGATTTTCAATTCCGAAGAATAAAAAAAAAATGCAAACCAAGATGTTAGATACTTTTTGAGTTATCGGACCTCTTTAGGCCTAGCAATATAAGAATAATTTCTTTTGAAGAGTTTAAGATGATACGAAAGGCGATGAGAAATTTAATCGAGGTCGATAAATTAATATTCATCTATACCGTTTTTGGTGGTAACGTCATTTTGAATACTTAAGGGGGAATATAAGCTGCTGCGTCACGTGACCGACGTTTATATTTATGTTCAAATCTTTTACAGTCTACGTTGAGAATTATACAAACTGAAGCGTTCCTTATGTCATTTCTGCAAAGTAAGAACGAAGACGTCGACGTGACACTGTCGAAATCCCGTGAATTCATTATTCTAACGACTGTTTAGGATCAACGTCGCCATCTGTGACGTTTAGCTGCAACTAAATTTTTGCTCTAAAAACACGTGTCAGCCCCGAGACAAGCCAGCATTCTCTTGCAATCGTTGGTGAAAGTATTTTCCATATTTTCCCATCTGACCCTGTCAATTTCTCCGATATTCTAAATTATTCGACTGAAACTCTTCATTTTCGATTCTACTCCTCCAAGAAGCGCAAAACATTGAAAACAAGCACGGGTCAGGCCATTTTGGTTCTAGTCCATAATAAATTAATTTTGGATGAAAAATGAAATTTCATGAGTTTCAGGAGCTACTTTAGGGCCTCCATATTCACGTGGTAAAATTATTAACGAATCGGTATACCCAGTTAGGAGAATACTTTCCCCAACGATTTGACCTCTCGGTATATATAGGCCGATTCTTTGATATCATTTTGATACCGTCCAGAAAGTGAATATTTGGCGCGATAGACGAAGAGGGAAACCGTGGGTCAAGAGTCGGTGCCAATCAGCTGGAATTACCTGTCTAGAGGCCGTCGGGGTGGCGGGCTCCTCGGGCTCCTTCGGGTGGACCCCGCTCTGCTTCCGCTTGTTGGGGTTCCCGGCGGGCCCGGAGGAGGCCCCGCCCCAGCGGATGAGGGGCCCGCCGGAGTTGCGCCTGGGCCCGGGCCCGAGCCGCTCGGGTTCCTCGGCGGCGGCAGCGGCGCTCCCACCTGTGGGGGGCGTCAGGAACAGGTGAGTTCGGAGGGGGTGAGTGGGAAGCTCGTCCATGGGGTAGTAGCCGAACTCGCGGCTGCGCCGCACGGGCCCACGGCCCCCCACGCCCCCGGCGCCNCGGCCCCCCAGCCGCGTGCCCCCCAGTCCCACGCCTCCCACGCCGACCGCGCTGGGGCCTGCCCCCGCCCCGTACCCGGGCGCGGATCGGTCGCTTCCTACGCCCCCTCCACCACCGGGGCCCTTGTCGGCTCCGAAGTTCTTTCGGAACATCAGATTCATGACCGACCGATATCGCTGCGCACTCGGGTAATCGTTACTTCGCCGGCACACTTCCGATGTCTATTTCATTAAAGCGTATTTAACAGCCGGCGGTTCCTTCTTTGCTATTTCTTTCATCCAAATTTGGACCTCCGCGTGAGGCTCAATTATTTCTTGGACCTCGCGGACTCTGGCTTCTGAGGTTCGACCGGCCGAGGATCGACGGGAGATCGGGGACGAAGGTGGTAACTGGGAGGGTTGTCGGCCGAAGCGCGGGTGTCCTGGTTAACCACCTTTTGAGTTTTTGGAGCTGATCTTGAGTTTGATCTTCGAGTCACTTTCTGGTCCACTGAGGTCGTTCTTGTTGGGGCGCTCGACCGAGGGGGGGTGGAAGTAAAGCCTCGAGGAGGTCGAGGGTGGTCGGGGGTTTCGGTAATCGTTCCTAGGTACCGCATTGTGGAATTTGTGCTTCCATTACTTGGTTTCTAGATTGGGCCTTTAAGCTACGTTTTAGAGTGAATTTATTAAGGACGGGGGGGGGGGAAGGCTGAAAGAAATACGGGAAAGAAGTGGGAGCCTTTGAAACTGATTTTGTGAAATGTTACCTTTCCTGATTAAGGCAGGATGAAAGGGTCATTGTGGATATCGGAAGGTCGAAATATTTATAAAACTTTTCTCCAAACTGGGTGCGCCGAATCATTTGAAACTTTAACAAGTGATTATGGACGCCCAAAGAAGAACGCGTTACGAGTGGAATTTCATTTTTATACAAAAATTACTTTTTATTTAGCCAGATTAGAACCAAAATCACATTTTTTTTTTTTGTGAAGAATGAAATTTCACGAGTATCGCGTTCTTCCTTAGAGCCTCCGTAATCACGTGTCAAAGTTACAAATTATTCGGTGCACCCAGTTTGGAGAAAAGTTTTATGAATATTTTGACGTTTTATATATGTAGAGTGATCCTTTCATATCACCTTAAGGGGATGTGAAAGTGACACCCGAAAGCTCAGTCGTTCATAAAACTTTTCTAAGAACTGGGTGTCCCAAATCGTTTCATACTTTAAAACGTGAATATGGAGACCCTAAGGTAGGTCCTGAAACTCGCGAAATTTCATTTTTTATAAACTATTTTTAAAATACCTATAAAGAAATTTGAAAAGAATTGAAATTCCATGCGTTTCAGGACCTTCCTTATAGTCTTCCTATTCACGTTGTAAAGTTTCAGACTATTCGGTAAACCGAGTTGGGAGAAAAGTTATATAAACGAAACCTCTTCGACGCCACTTTCACATTACCTTAAGGCTCGGATACTCCTTCGGTTAAATGTACGATGTTCAATTTTTTCTAGGATCCTATTATCGCGAAAATGACGGAAATTCGACAAATTGCGCCTGATTATTCCAGCACAAAGCTTGCAAATCGTGCAACAAGTTACATACCATTGGCAGAGATGAGGAATCAAATTTACACCATTCGCTCGTTTAAATGATATATGTTCTACATGTAGTCTCATTATGTACATATGTATACGTTATGTGTATGTTACGTATGTTACGTCACGTACATATGTCTACGTTATATGTCTGTATACGTATACAATATGTACATATGTAGTTTCATTATTTTAATTCGTGCACTTCGTATTGTAATTATAGGATTAAATGTATGTCTGTACGTAACATACACAAAATATATGTATACGTAACGTACATATCTGTACGTTATATGTATGTATATGTATACATTAGGTACATGTCTACATATGTATACATGTAGTTTCGTTATTTTAATTCGTGCACTTCGAATTGTGATTATAGGATGAAATGTATGTCTGCATCGTGCAATTGTTTCGTAACCTATTTTCCAGTAAAGGCATTAAGGTGAAGTGAAACACGTCGAGGAACTTGATCAACGTCGATAAAGAAGATTTTCCTAAATGCCTACGTTGCCGTCGTTTGTTTTTATATTGACAGCTGTATAGAATTATATTGGGCATTGTACCAAATGGCATACTCCACCTGTCGTTTTCGTACAATAATTATAAAGAAATCGAAGTAAAACTACAGAAATCCCCCGAATTCATGGTTTCTGAGGTCCTAATTGACTGCAGAGGAACCCCCTGCGCCATCTGTGATATGGGTGTTAACTAAATGTTCATTCCGAGACCTCGTATTCCCATCGTTTTAGCATAGCAGCGCATGAGACACTTTTTTTGCCTTTATCCCAGTCAAATGCGAGTTTCTCAATTATCAAAGTGTTATAAATTGTTGTAAAATTGTCCTGACCCTTTCGATTCTCATATCAGAGCCTTCGATAATTGTATATTGATCGAAATATCAGAGCTCGACGCCATTTTGGTTCTGGTCTGGGCTGAGTTAAAAAATTAAAAAAAAAATCCAAATGTTGAATGTGTCAGGACAACTCTTAAATGATCAGAAGTGATGTGTCAAAGTTTCGGACAGTTTGGTCTAATACCCTTAAAACGAAGTGTTGTATTCCAATCGACTGATTTGAAGGAGGTTTCACTTCACCTTAAGTACTCCACGTGCCTTTGTACTTCTGCGTAATTTGCATCGATACCCCTAAATGTAGGTATAAACCTACGTGAACGTTTGGTAATGCTTTCTAGGGAATATCCGGACGTTCCCCCGCGGGTAGAAAGAATCAGTTTTGTCTGCCCCGACCAATAATCGATCGTTTCACATCACCTTAACCTTAACTTAAGTGAACCCTATCGAAAGCAATTTCCCCTGGATTTCGAGCCGCGATGTCGATTCTCTTCGGAATGAATGAAAGGGTATATAAAATTTACTTTGCCACATCGTTGACGAGAGCCCGATTTCGAAATCTACGGAATCCGGGGTCACCTACGCGGAAGCGCCTCCTCGTAGCCCGGAAGCGCAGCGGCCTCCGGCGGAGTTTCCCCCTAAAGACGCGCGTTCAGTGAAATCCACTAAAAGTAAAGTAAAAGAGTAGAAGGAGGCGAGGAAGAAAAGAAAAAGAAAATTCGGAACGGTTTGAAACTCGCCGATGAAAGGAGTGTCGAATCAAAGAGGGGCGACCGGCTGGTGGAGCGAGCCGACGAGGCACCCTCTATGAAACACGGACGGCCACGCGCAGTACCCTCTGGGAACGCTTTTTGAGGCTCCTCCCAATGCCACGAGGCACCGCAAACACCTAGACGAATGCACGTGGCCGCGGGTCGATACGTATTGAAATATTCACGGGCAAGTCATCGCTTAGTTCTGAGACTCTCCTCGAGGCCGTCGCGCGCCGCGCGGCGCTGTCATCGCAGCCGAATTTTATCCCCCTAATGTAGGTTATGGCGATTCCGTGTCTCCCTTTAGGATAGATTAAGGTAGGTTAGGTTTTGCCTCCGGCGTGACTACCCTGTTAAAAATAGAAAAATGTTATAATACTTTCGTAGGAAGTTTCATCCGGACATGGCATACCAATTTTATAACATATCCAGACGAAAATTATAACAAGTTATACATTCTTCTAGGAAACTTCACAAACTTCTACTGTGACGTTAGAAAATTAGACATTTTGAAGTTCAACATAAATATGTGATAATTCGCTTTTTAGACATGAAATTTATAATTTCACTACAATCTTATGTACCAAGAGTGTATGAATATTTTTAGCAGGGTAGACAGCGGGAGTTCGTCCACCTGGTCGAGAAAAGAATACACGTGGAAGCGCGAAAAGTTGGGAGCAGAACTTTCCTTCCCTAATGTAAATTGTCTTAATTATGTATGTTATTTTTTGCTGGTGGGTTAGGTTAGGTTAGGTTGACCGAGTAGGTTGGATTGGACTTGTGAATAAGGTGGACAGACGGTCGAAGTTCGTCCACCCGGACGTGCGAACAAAACACACACACGGACTCGTTGAAAACCCGTCGGCTGGAGGAGGTCGCTGCAGTCCTCAGCGAGCGACACCCCCGCACTGGGACGCCGGCGAGCGGCGTCGCGACGCTCCCAGCCGAGTGGGCGGACTGCACCGGGACACCCACTGCCGCTCTCGAACACGAGGTCACCGAATAGTTGAACTGCACTTGCGTGCGTTGCAGGTGCTTTGCAGAGCGGGTGAACGAAGAAGGACAGGGTTGCTTATGATTATGGATTCCGTCGTGGGCCCGTCAGGATATAAAATTACAAGAGAATTCATTTCTTCCCATCTCATAACTCAGTTGGCTTAAGGTGAAGTGAAACACGTCGAGGAACTTGATCAACGTCGATAAAGAAGATTTTTCTAAATGCCTACGTTGCCGTCGTTCGTTTTTATATTGACAGCTGTATCGAATTATATTGGGCATTGTACCAAATGGGATACTCCAACTGTCGTTTTCGTACAATAATTATAAAGAAATCGAAGTAAAACTCCAGAAATCCCCCGAATTCATGCTTTCTGGGGGCCTAATTGACTGCAGAGAGACCCCCTGGGTCATCTGTGATTTTCAGGTCAATTAAATTTTCACTCCGAGACCTCGTATTCCCATGGTTTTCGCATAGAAGCGCATACAACACTTTTTTTGCTTTTATCCCGTTCAAGTGCGAGTTTATCGATTACCAGAGTGTTCTAAATTGTCGTAAAATTGTCCTGACCCTTTCGATTCTCATATCAGAGCCTTCGATAATTGTATATTGATCGAAATATGAGAGCTCGACGCCATTTTGGTTCTGGTCTGGACTGAGTTAAAAAATTTTTTTGAAAAATCCAAATTTTGAATGTGTCAGGACAATTCTTAGATGATCAGGAGTGATGTGTCAAAGTTTCGGACAGTTTGGTCTAATACCCTTAAAACAAAGTGTTGTATTCGAATCGACTGATTTGAAGGGGGTTTCACTTCACCTTAACGTGATATGAAGGTGTGATATATACATAAGAAAAAATGAAAATATTTATATAACTTTTCTCCGAGCTGGGTGCACCGAATTATCTGCAACTTTAACGCGTGATTATGGGAGCCTTAAGGAATAATGCGCTGCTCATGAAATTTCGGTTTTCGAAAAAAATTGTCTACTTATCTCGAACAAGAACTAAAGAAAGATATTTCTTTCTTTTTTTTTCCGGAGAAGTGAAATTTCACGGGCAGCGCGTTCTTCCTTAGAGCCTCCATAATCACATGTTAAAGTTTCACATGATTTGGTGCACCCAGTTCAGAGAAAAGTTTTATCAATATTTTGACGTTCTGATATATAGAATGACCCTTTCATATCATCTTAAATCAGTAAGGCTTTTTAATGAGTCCTTGTGAAAGAATATCGAAAAGGCATAGTTTACGTGAACTGCTGACAAATATGTCTCGGTTTTAAAGAAGTATTTTTTCCTATCTACCGTTACATTACTGAATTTTATTCGGAAAGAGCGATTATCTACGTCTGATTTGATGCGAGAAGTTTTGCTGGCGTATGATGGGCTAAGATCATCTCCATAGAAATGCATTTTATAAGACCCTCCCCTCCCCATTAAAAAACGTTTACTTTTAAACAGTTTCTTATGTCTGGGATAGGATTTTAATAAAATAGGTTGCAAATAAATGGACATCCTACGTTGCAAATGGTCTTTTTGTTATGGATGTATCTAAATTCGTTACCTAGGCTCAGAAATACCATTTTCTCTAGGTAACACTATATGGAATTGAACGAGGAAGCGTTTATAATCACGTTTGCCTATACGTGGGAAGATCTACTGCGAGTAACTATATGTGAACCTGAGGCCTTTTCTGCTAGTAATCAATGATTCTGGAACTATTATACAAGAACATATTTTGCGAAGTAAGCTTCAGGAAAAGAAGTTATAGCAAGTTCCTATGAGAGTGTAACATCAAATTACCAGCATTGCTCGAATGAAATAGGTATAATGCAAAGATACCTAATGCATATCACATGTAATTAATAAAGGGCACATCCGGTAACTACACTAACAGAGAAAGCATTCTTAACTAAATAGCACTGCATCAAGTTGCTTTGGTGAAATATGAACATTCGTAACTAATTAAATGCAGAAAGTTGTCCTGCTTCCGACCATATACAGCAGAAGGTACTATCAATATGATCAGTACTATCAATTGATCATTCTAGACTAATCCCATTAAAAGGACTCTATTTCTATCTCAAAACCATTCCAATAAGCTCCAACGGACGTTTAACCTTGGAGTACCAGGATTGTATCAATAAAACGTCGGATAGCCTTGGAATATCAAGCTTGTCTCATTAAAACGGGGAATAAAGGTACTATGTTATAAACGTAGACACATAATGTATTACCTAGGCACGAAATAACACTTTTCTCTAAATAACACTGCACCAGATTGCAACGGTGGAGGGTGGATTGGGGAGTCTGACTAAAGGCGGGAATCTCTATTCTCTGATTATAGACGCAGTTCAGGTGATATGAAAGAGTCAGCCTATATATGTGCCCATAATTATGAAAGTGGTCTAAGTAATATATTTCTTGTTTCGAGATATTTAATGAATTGCATTTGAATAAATTAAAAAATATTTTTATATTATGCAACACTTTAATTTCGAGTTTTATTAGTCTTGATTAATGGAAATTTATTATGAATATGAAATTTTGGGTGAATTTCATAGGAAAATGTTGTTTTTAGAGTGTGAATTGACTTAGACCATTTTCAAAATTAACTAAATGTCCTATAAATGACTTAAAGCAATAAAAAACTACGAGTTCTATTAGAAACGATATTTTTAATGAATTAATTCATGAACATTTATTAATTATTTTTCAAAAGAAATCCATTTTTATCACTTTAGGCTTTCATCATTATGAGTTTTTAAGGTTTTTTCAAATGTTCCTGAAAAACTGGAGAGATGTAAACATAATATCTTTGTTTTTCTTCCATTACTGGTCTAGTGGTGGGGTATAATGGAAGTAATTTAATATTTCCGTATATTTTTGGTCTTCCTCTTTTAGGCGAAAGATCCAAAACGTGGAATTTAGAATCATCTAAAGAAGTATTACGTGGTCGTATAATATCTGCAAATCACATCATATCCGAATAGTAATTAACATATTCACATAATATGTACGTTGTTATTAACTTACCTGAACCGCTATTCGCGGACATAGGGGTAAAATATATAAATTATTTTTCCGCCAATAATTAGTTCCGAAGAGCCCAACTGAATGAATGCACTTTCATAATAGAACTAAATGAATTCCATGTATTGTTAGGTAGACCGGAAAGTATTGTCGTTTCTGTTATCGTTTGATTGTCATTTGTCGGCTTATCGTGTAGTTCAAAAACGCGCTAAAGAGGGCCACGTGCCATTTTAAGGTTATGTTTATATAATTTCTTTTAATTTGGACTTAGACCACTTTCATAATTATGGGCTCATATATATCTGAGAAGTCAAATCGTTGGGGAAAGTATTCTCCGAATTGGGTGTACCGATTCGTTTCCAATTTTACCACGAGAAAATGGAGGCCCTAAAGTAGGTTTTCAAACTCATGAAATGTCAATTTTCATCCAAAATTAATTTATCATGGACTAGAACCAACATGGCGTGGTCCGTGAACGTTTTCGATGTTTCACGCTTCTTGGAGGCTTAGAATCGAAAATGAAGAGTTCCAGGACCTAGCTCGAACAATTTAGAATACCGTAGAAATGGAATATTACAGAGTCAGATGAGAAAATGTGGAAAATACTTCCACCAAGAGATTGCAAGAGAATGCAGCCTTGTCTCGGGGCAAACGGAATTCACGGGATTTCGATAGGTTTACAGCGATCTCTTCGTCATTACTTTACAAAAATGACATATGGAACTCTTAAGTTCGTATAATTCTCAACGTAGACTGTAAAAGACTTCAACATAAATATAAATCTCGGTAACGTGACGCGCCAGCTTATGTTACTACTTGAATATTCAAGACGGTATTACCACCAAAAAGGGTAGTAGATGAATTTTATTTTATCGATCTGGATTAAATTTCTCAGCGGCTTTCATATCATCTTAAGACCGCGTTCACTTCTAATTGATTATTACAAATGAACATCATTTCAAGATCTCTATTCTACGAGGCTTGCAATAGGATCTCAACGGGACTTTAATTTTGGGAAACCGGGCATTCTACGTAAAGTGGCGGGATATAGGTATCAAATTACGAATACAGTTGCACAATACACTACCTAAGCACGACAATGCAGTTTTCTCTAAATAACACTGCACCAGATCACGCCGGTAAAGTGCGGATGTTCGCGTCTGACTAGACACGGGAAACACTACTGTGACTGACCACATGCGGCTTTAAAGCCATTTCCTCTAGTAATTGATTATCCTGGAGTTTTCCTCGATACGTAAACCGCCGCACAATGGATTCTTGGGATTGGTCGAACCCTTTCACACTCCACGGACACTTCAATCGTTAAGTTTAGTTCTCTTTTACCTAGAAACGATGTTTTTCCACACCTCGACCTCCCATGCCTTAATCCCCTTTAAGGTGAAGTGAAACACATCGAGGAACTTGATCGACGTCGGTAAAAAAGTTTTTCTAAATACCTACGTTGCCGTCGTTCGTTTTTATATTGACAGCTGTGTCGAATTATATTGGATATTGTACCAAATGGCATACTCCACCTGTCGTTTCCGTGCAATAAATATCAAGAAATCAAAGTACCACTCCAGAAATTCTCTGAATTCATGCTTTCCGGGGCCCTAATTGACTGCAGAGGGACCCCTTACGCCATCTGTGATTTCCAGGTCAATTAAATTTTCACTCCGAGACATCGTATTCCCATCGTTTTGGCATAGAAGCGCATACAACCCTTTTTTGCCTTTATCCCGTTCAAATGCGAATATATCGACTACCAGAGTGTTTTAAGTTATCGTACAATTGTTCTAACATTCGTTTCTCATATTAGACCGTTCAATAATTGGATATCGATCGAAATATGAGAGCTCGACGCCACTTTGGTTCTGGTCTGGGCTAAGTAAAAAAATTTCTTTCAAAAGTCCAAATTTTGAAAGCGTTAGGCTAATTCCTAGGTGCTCGCGAGTCACTTGTCAACGTTTCAGACAGATCTATCCAATACCCTTAAAAAAAAAAGCGTCTTATTCGAATCCACTGATTTGAAAGGGGTTTCACTTCACCTTAAACTGACGCATACTGGAGCAGGAAACGTTCTCTAAAAGCGTTCTTACTCGTCTAGACTTTTATTGCACAGTTTTATTATTCGGTTTCGCGCGATTTTCCTAAAGAAGGTGGGTTTCGCCCTTTACACTTTAGTATATCCAGCTTTATCGGTTATCTAGTTACTTTCGAACGGAGGAAGACACTCGGAAGCGGCGACTTTCTGTTTATGCGACGCGACACTGACGATTCGCATTGGCGAGCGGCCGCGAAACTGTATTTGACTCTGGTATTAATAGGCTTGGCAGGTAACGCCTGGATATAAATACCTCAAGGCGTTTACGGTAAAAAGAGCTTGTTAAGTTCTTCGGGGAAGTATGGTATACTTGAAACGCGTGCGAGTTTTGGCATACCTCGATCTGTCAGATACAACGAGCCACGAGGGAAGGCCTGGTCGAGTCGCTTTAACTTTTTTTTTTTTAATATTTAACGTCGCATCAACTGCTCTGGTTATTAGCGACGCACCGTTGGCTTAAGGTGAAGTGAAACATCCTTCAAATCAGTCGATTCGAACACAACACTTTTTTTTAAGGGTATTAGACCAAACTGTCCGAAACTTTGACACGTCACTCCTGATCATCTAAGAATTGTCCTGACACATTCAAAATTTGGATTTTTCAATCAAATTTTTTAACTCAGTCCAGACCAGTACCAAAAGAGCGTCGAGCGCTGATATTTAGATCAATATACAATTATCGAAGGCTCTGATATGAGAATCGAAAGGGTCAGGACAATTTTACGATAATTTAGAACACTCTGGTAATCGATAAACTCGCATTTGGACGGGATAAAGGCAAAAAAAGTGTTGTATGCGCTTCTTTGCTAAAACGATGGTAATACGAGGTCTCGGAGTGAAAATTTAATTGACCTGGAAATCACAGATGGCGCAGGGGGTCCCTCCGCAGTCAATTAGGGCCCCAGAAGGCATGAATCCAGAGAATTTCTGGAGTTTTACTTCGATTTCTTTATAATTATTGTATGAAAACGACAGGTAGAGTACGCCATTTGGTACAATACCCAATATAATTCGATATAGCTGTCAATATAAAAACGAACGTCGGCAACGTAGGCATTTAGAAAAATCTTCTTTATCAACATTGATCAAGTTCCTCGACGTGTTTCACTTCACCTTAAGTAAATTGTGTAGGTGAGTAAATAATGATGGTTAGGTTTTACAATTCGCGTAAGAGGTTAATGTCTTTTAGGAACATTAGTGTTTTGTTAACTTCTTGTGGGTCACTGAGAGCCTTGTTAATTGAGGTGGGTAATTTGAGCATAATCAAACCTATTCTTTAAACTGATGAGTAAATAATTCGATTTGAAAATGGTGTACGGTCCGCAAAGTATGATTAATCAAGAGCTTTCATCTGGCAGATATTTTCGGAAACGTTTCGACAAGAGGAACTAGATATGACGTTCGTGATATATCATCGGAAAACAACAACCCCAAATAACGACGAGACTCCACCAATAAAACGCCGTATATCATCGAACTTTTTCTGACGGCAGTGTTTCAACGATAGACAATTGTAGGCCAACGCTTTTTAGTATCAGTCTGCCAAGGAGAAAACAGTGTTTGATAATTCGCTGATCACATGCAAAACTAACAAGTAAGAAATTTAATTAGGAGGCATTAGTATGAATATTAAATTTGTACGTTAATGATATATAAATATTGAATAAATAATGAAAATATCATTAATATTAAATGTTTGCCCGTGCACATAATTTTTTCCGTCGTCGAATTGTTCGGCATAGAAGTAACATTCTTCTCGATTACGGCTATAAATTATCCTTTAGATTTCAAAGTTAATTGAACAATTTCTTTTTTTAACACGCGAATATCGGTATTGTTGGCGAATTACAATCGAGTTAGGAAATTTGTATTCGTTAACGGAGTTGAAATTTATTTCCGACACACATAGACGGCAGAAATTCCGTCTACCAGAGGAATGCATAAGTTCAGAACTGTATACGAATGGAAAATGAATTTTCGTTCAATCAACGAGTCGCTCTAAACCAGCGTTCGCGTGAAATTAATTACCGAAAGATCGATTCATAGTCAGGGTTTCAACTTCACTCGTGTGCTTTAGCTTGTCTCTGTAAAGGGATGAAACATGGTCCCTCAACTTTTGGAAATTGAACATCCATCGTGGATCATGCTTTCATTATACCCTGGTGGACATGAATACCTTCCCTTGGTGTACTTCCTCCGGTATTACATCCTTCGAGGGGTTGTTCATGTCCGCCAGTGCATATTAACCATAATACTTCCACGTACACGGAAAAAAGTAAATTGGTTACAATTACTATAGGGACATTCTTAAAATACTGTAGGAAGTAAAACCACATAAATGGTGAAATGGACCACATGGAATCGTAAATGTGCCCATAATTATGAAAGTGGTCTAAATCAAAATTAAAAAAAAAAATGAGTTTATCAGTTATTTCACGCCATATTATTTCAAACGAAATTAATTCAATGTAATTTCGAAACAAAAAATATATGACTTAGACCACTTTCATAATTATGGGCACAAATGTAACCTTGCGAATAGGTATTGTATCCATGGTATTGCGCCTAAAAGGTGCAGAGGTGATCACCATTTGGAATGGTAATATTAAGTACATGAAGAGGTTACAATACGCGCAGGAAAATTGAAGATTTATCTGGGAACTGTAACCATATATTATAGTAAGGTTTTACCCGTTGCAAGGCTATTCTAAACTTGCCTACGTGATTGCAGAAACAATGGTTTACCCCCATTAAGTGCATATATGATCTGTTACTATTCCTTACGTTTAAGATACAACGACTTTACTTCTCCCCGAAGAAGAGGGAAAAGGGAAGTGATCATCGAGAAACCATGTTTTTGAACATCAACTGATGTTCTACTACTTGAGGTATGAATTTATGAGAACACTGACAGAAACATAAGTATAACGTATGTAATCATAAAAATCGAATTCTTTATGTCGAAGGTAAATTTTTAAATGGATATTCCTAAAATAACTATGCCCAATGTTGGAACAACTCGTTCCTTGTAGTTACATGGACTAAATGGGGAAGTAACCCTTAGTATGTTCTTTTTACCATGTTGCGCTGGTTAATGCAACCTCCTCCCGAGGTTGTCCCGTATGTTGCCTTGCAATAGGGGTACGATTACCACATTTATGGTTTTCCTAACCATTCTTTTTTTTTTTTCCGTGTACATGTAGAGTTCGTTCGACGACATTATCTGCCAACACAGAGGATCACCTCCGAGCTCAATGTCACTGATGAAATAAGCTATTAATTGACTTTCCATGCTCAGTTACTTGAAATGTGACAAAAAATTCAAAGGTATGCTCTAGTGACATCACCTAAAATGGGAAGGGAATGTTTATAATCGAGTTGACCGAGAGGAAGGACACAACGGAAACGAATGCGTCGGAAACATAGGAACAGTCTGATTCATGCCAGTATACTTATTTATTTATTTATTTATTGACTTTCCATGCTCAGTTACTTGAAATGTGACAAAAAATTCAAAGGTATGCTCTAGTGACATCACCTAAAATGGGAAGGGAATGTTTATAACCGAGTTGACCGAGAGGGAGGACACAACGGAAACGAATGCGTCGGAAACATAGGAACAGTCTGATTCATGCCAGTATACTTATTTATTTATTTATTAATTGACTTTCCATGCTCAGTTACTTGAAATGTGACAAAAAATTCAAAGGTATGCTCTAGTGACATCACCTAAAATAGGAAGGGAATGTTTATAATCGAGTTGACCGAGAGGGAAGACACAACGGAAACGAATGCGTCGGAAACGTAGGAACACCCTGATTCATGCCAGTGTACTTATTTTCTACTCAACAAAGTTTCTTGTCCACTCTTAAGGCTCAAAGGGAACTCCTCGGTAAACTCGTTTTCATTTCTTGTAGTCTGTAGTCAAACTTTTTATCGTGGACAGAACATTTCTCCAAGTGCACTGCAAACTACTGCGAGCAGCTGCACATATATCACAACTACGAGCATAAGAAGGTTCCTCCTGCGCATATACGAAGATGTAATCTTGAAATGATTGTCCTACTTTTCATGCGCGTCGTTATTAACATCGCGTTCTGAGTACACACAGTTATGCTCCGTAAATGCGTACGCTGCAAACAGGATAGTAGTATCAAAGTACCTTTGTACCATAACGCCATTTGTTACGTCACTAAAGCGAGCGGCACTAAAAAGAGAGGAACGACGGAAGCGAATGCCTCTTACTCAACGCTGCTTGTCGCGCATTCACTCGCGTCTGTACGCGTACGACGCGTTAATGTTCCATACACGACCACCCCCGTTCGTTTTACCTCCAAACTAACCTACTACCTACAACGAGCTGCGTTTAAAAACTCGACCCAGTCGTAACTTCCGAGGTCAGTGGAAATCTGACACTTTCCTTGTCCAAATTTGAAAAAAAATTATTAAGTAACTTTGGGTAATAAAGCCCATATGCGTAGCAAGGCACATGCTTATATTTCACCGTGTAGCAAAAGTGCAAATGTTTGTGGCTCCCTCTGAAAATTAGTAGAACAAAGAAGAGACCATTGGGGGTATTGTCGGGGCTGTGGACGGGTCCATGGTAAACCGAGATTGATAAGAAATATTTTCGAGGGAATTTGACCAAATTTGGTTGCAGCGTTCAAGCTGTTTGTCCCAAAGTTTTGTGAAGTCCTGCTCTGTCTGGCAGGTATATAGTACCTTATACTTTTCTCTACATTCTGTTGGATATGTTTTGTTGAAATGGTTTGTTGTTTTTAAAACATAAGGCCCGGCATACGGTAACATAGCGCAACCGAAGATCTTTTTCAACAAGGACATGAAACTATGACTAGTTGCTGGAAATACAACGTCGCAACAAAATTTGAGCGAAATATCTTTAAAAAATTAAAGCTTGACGCTTCGAAGAAGACCGAGAACTGGGACCGCAGCTTTTATCAAGAAAATAGGGTTGCCGATATTCGGCAACGTGCCCTGGGCAGGAAATGGCTTTACGAAGAATGCCGGAAGACAACATTCGAGGATCTTGATGACATAATTTGCCCTAACTGTGCAAATTAATGTACATCTTCCCATCAATGTCCGGGGGCCTTATTATCTATACGGTTCGGTAACAAAGCCCAGGAGCCCCAT